GTTTCTTTCCTCTGAGTCTAATGCCTTACCGCAAGACAGAGAGACCCACGCCCTAGCTCGCCCTCAAACACTAGCGCTCAAGGGAAGGCAGTAAAAGGAGACATTCTCAATGAAGCTCCGAGGGCAGCTCGTGAAGGAAGCTCCTGTAGGAAGCTTCTGGTGGAGCCTCGTGAAGGATGCTCATAAATTATCAGAAAGAGAACAAGAGAAATCTTCATTTGACTACAAATCCAGACGTTTCAAATTACTTTCTGGTATTTGCCAACATTTGAACTTTTAGCCAAAATATACATATAAATAAGAGAATTGCAATTATTTTGTGTTGCTGAAGGCAGTTCCCAGCTGAAAGATAATCCCGTAGAATAATACATTTCTCTGAAGATTATGCAGAATTGCTTTATCAAAACCCCTGAAGCAGCGAATGAAAAAAAAAATACCTGAACATTAAACACGTCGAGAGTTAATTCAATTTGCTATCTATCTGACGTATTTAAATTTCCTCACGTCAGAATACAGCCACACCTGGTGCTGACAGGTTGGTCCTACTTTTTAACCTCCTTTCCCAATGGAAAAAGACAGACTATTCAACAAACTACCAACAGATATCAGAAATATTGCCGGAACGGAGGTAGAAGTTTTTAATAGGAAACTGACCCAGTATCTCTAACATGTGCTTGATCAGCTGGAATGGGATGGTTATGTGGCCATGCAGGTCCCTGGCACAGACAGCCTGTTCAACTATCTGTTAACCGTCTGGTCAACAGGCTTTTCTGTTCGGCAGGCGGTCAACAGGAAAGCCGTGCCATGAGCCAGGCTGAGAGGATAGTAATCGAAATCAATCACGGGAAAAGTCACAAGTATGTGTATTTTCAAGGGTGTCGTTAATTCCCACGTCAATACCTGAACAATTTCCCAGTTCAATCACCATCAATTGCAACGGCAGATACTGTCACATGTAACCTCAATTGCTGAAAACAATACATTTCCACTTCACAGAAATGCTCCATCACACTTCATACCAGAACCTTTTTTCTGTCATCATACAAATTTGCTCTGTGAAATATCTGTGTTAGGTTTCAGGGATTCTTGTACTCTCACAGTCCAGTCTGTGGCCAGACTTCCTTACTGACTGCCTGATCAACGCACCTAAGTGCCTCTGGTACACTAACGTTAAGTTCCTCATGATCTGTGCAAACTGCGACGAAGAACATATTTCATATTTCATCAAATTCCTTATTAACCATTTAAATTTAATTCCCCCCCCCCCAAAAAAAAAAATAATTGCACTGGACGATAAGCCACATGGGCATGGAAATCTTTAGCTAAAGATCTTTCGCACTCTCATGCGTCGTCAGGAACTATGCAGTGTTGCAAGACAAAAGATAGGAGGGACAATTCTCCGAGGCAAAGCAGGTATCAATGTCAGCCCAATGTTATATATATATATATATATATATATATATATATATATATTATATATATATATATATATATATATGTCGTGCCGAATATGTAAAACTGGTCAATTAGCAAGAACTCATTTAAAAATAAGTCCTTTCTAAAAATTTCTCTTATACGTTAAAGATATATTTTTTTCATTAATGTTAATGAAAAAAAAATTAATTTTGCACCAAAAGATTCTTAGAAAACTTACCTAACCTTATTATAACAAGAACAATTTATTTTAGCCTAACCCAACTAAATATATTTTAGATTTGTTTACAATAATTGAACAGTAAACAAACACAGCGAAATATATTTTTTTCGTTAGGTTCAGAATGATTTTGGCGAAATTATTGCATAAAAAAATTTTCGCTTGTCCTATTTGGCAAGATGAGCGTTGCTATTTAAGCCAAGATGGCAAGTTCTGCCTATTCGTCACGACACACACATACACACACATATCACAAATATATAATATATATATATATATATATATATATATATATATATATATATATATATATGCGCGCGTGTGTGTGTGTGTGTGTGTGTGTGTGTGTGTGGCAATCATACAGGATATAGGAGCAAAGTAACGACACAGAGTGGATATTCGAACATGGAAACTATTCCTGTGTTGTTGCTGTAATCTTACACGCTAAGTTTAAAGGAAGTAACACAAGAGTTCCTTGTTCCTTCATTATGGGGACGAGCAACCAGTATAGACAGAACTCTTCTAATGCTTTATCATGTGCTTGAAGGAAGTCTCTAGCTAGACGGAGGCTTGTTTTCCCATCCAGTATTGGTCATATAGAATATAGTAGCAGAACATTGTTGGTATATCTAATATTCTTATATAAAAATTAAGATAGCGTCGCTGCAGCTGATGGAACTTCTGGCTGACTAACTACCGTAATTCAGAAATAATTTCATTAATCAATACGAAAATTTCCTCTATTTAAACTTCCCAAAATTGAATCTTATCATCTTCCGCTAAAAGCAAAAAATGGCAATATTCATCATCAGAAGATGAGAGAAGAGGAAGGGGAGATGGAGGAAAGGGGAATGGAGCAAAGAGAAAAGGGAGGAAAAAGTGGGGGCGAACGTGAAAGGGGTGACAGGGAGGGAAGGAGGTAAACCGGATGGGAGAGGAGGAAAGAATAAGGAGTGTGGTTTGATGGAAGAGGGATTTTTTTTATTAAACAGATTAGTCCACAGAAGCACTGTGCTGCTATCCAACCTCTGTGACACTTACAAAGTGGGAAGAAAACTTGGCTGTTTTCCTGTCATATTCCCTTACATATAATACACTGAATAACTTAATAATAAAAGCTACCTGAGCTAGGAGACCTCAACAAAACCATGTGGATATAACCAGGTATTCCACTGTTCCACTACAGCAGCTTTGGCAACTTTAAATGCTTCGTCCCAGCAGAACTGGAGTAACTATTACTTGGGAATTACCATCTCTCAGAATGGCCTCTCCCAGATTCATGTAGATGACATTTAGGTAAATAAATCGTCTAGGGTGACATTTAGGTATATAAATAATGTAGGATGACATTTAGGTAAATAAATCGTCTAGGGTGACATTTAGGTATATAAATAATGTAGGATGACATTTAGGTAAATAAAATCACAGTCCCAGAATGGGACTGTGAGTTATTTGCCTAAAAAAAAGCAAACATATACCCTCTTTGCAAATTCATTGTTGCAATATTTCGGCGAAAACCTTCCTGAACATCAACAAGCTTCACTGAGGCTAAGCAAAACAAACTAAATTTAAGTTGACCCAAGTTAAGTTGGGCAGTATTAAGCTACATTATATTACATTAATTTAGCAAGGGCAAGCTAGGTCACAAGGTTAGTTGGGTACAAAAAATTACTTTATCGACCTGGCCTGGCCTTGCTAAATTATTATAAAATAGAGAGTGAGGAAGGAGAATAAGGAAGAGCTGAAGGAGAGAGAACAGAGAGGAGGTTAGTGAGGGAGAGAGGAGGTTAGTGAGGGAGAGAGGTTAGAGGGGAAGAATGGGGGGGTTGGAAGGTGTGAGGGAGAAAAAGATCGAGGGAGAGTAGAGGAAAGAAGGGAAAGAAAGAAGAGGAGAACCATTCCGAGGGAGAACAGAGGAAAGTAGAGAGGCAAGGAGTAGCGAGGTATTTATGTCGCATGTAAATCTATAACATAAACTCCTGCTGTAAACCCCCAGGTGTTAACCCTCAACTGTAAATCCCTCTGTATATATCATTCTGCAAGAGAATAGTGCCACTTATCCTTTGAATTAACACACCGTCATAACGACACTATTGGGTAGTGCCACATATTCTTGTGAGTGAAGCTGTCACTGGCGCTATCCACTCTTATCATCAACTGTTGCAACAGTTAGCAATTATCAACTTCACCAATATATATATATATATATATATATATATATAATATTATATATATATATATATATATATATATATATATATATATATATATATATATATATATTATATATATATATATATATATATTATATATATATATATTATATAATATAATATATATATATATATCATTGGTGAAGTTGATAATTGCAAACTGTTGCAACAGTTGATGATAAGAGTGAATATATCCCCGTCTTTATAAAGAGCATATTAATTACTATGATAAAAACTTAAAAATACATAAATTCAGACACCTGCGGTGGTTAAGACCCCAGGAATTAACTACAGGATGGATTACAGGTAAACTACAGGTACACTACAGGTCGATTACATGTAAGCTACAAGTAGACTACAGATAGCTTATAGGTAAGTTACAAGTAGACCACAGGTCGATTGCAGGTAGCTCCTGAACCTTTTATCCACCAGCATCTACCTCAGCAGGATGCTCTCGTATAGTACGACGTCTCTATAACAGTCTGTTCTAATGTTTTCCTTAAAACATGTGATTCCTATTATCAAGCTCATTACTGCTCGTAATTTAGTTAAGGGTCATTTATACGGACGTCCGGTCTGGGACCGGGCCTAGGGGAGGGGGGCAGTGACCCCCCAAAAAAGTGACTTACAGTTAACACCTTTCACTAAACGTTATCTTGCTTCACTTCCGTAGCAATGTCTATAATTCATTACTGCTTTTACTACCACTACTATTACTATTACTACTACTAATCCTACTACTACTAGTCTTCCGATCAACGTTCAGGTTTTTTCGTCACCTGACCTGTCATCAACATTTCTTTCGTCCATCCCTTCCGTTTTCCTCTTTACCGACCTGTCTTCTATCTCTCCATTTTCTCGCTCAGTAGTGACTTATTAAATGGTTCAGAAAGCTCCGAAACTTCGTCTAAAATCATTTTTCGAAAGTCTGAATTATTTATAAAGTGCTCCATCTATGGTAATATGATTTACATTCTTCAGTGTTTATAATGCACAAGCAGGACAGATAACTCAATGCTAATTATTCGAAGATTCCCAACCACCAAATGTCTAAACAATGACCCTCCACCACACACGTAAAAATAAACAGATGGAAGAGAAAGCTGAGAGCCCTGCGGGGAGGATGTACTCACCAGGGAAGTAGAGAATTTCTTCGTTAAGTTTGTACTCGGTGCCGGGGATAGTCAGAACGCACTGGAACATCGTCTCCGAGTCAAGTTCGTAGTCGAACACTTCCAGGTCGATGCTGATGTTGTAGTAGCCCATCTCAGGGAAGTGCTGTCTGTCTATCTTGGCTCCCTCAATCACGTCCCGCCGCCTGTGTGCACGAAACTGGTTAGCGAGGACAGTGTGTAGTAGCCTAATTGTAACGTTCTGTTTGTATCTAGACAAGCAGAGCTGTGCTCGTTGTGTACCGCCTTTAACACACTGCCTGTCACTGTTTATAATTTCAGTGGTTGTAGCAGTTATTACTTCCTGTTATAGATCACTCCATTAGTCATAGACAAGTTATAAACAGAAGATAGACAAAGCTGTGAAAAACTGCAGAGGAAAAAAATAACTAATAGCAACGCAAGTAGATATAAAAACGATAGTCAAACGAACAACTGTAGTGAACAGAATAACGAAGTTTATTATGAACACAAGAGAAGCTAAAAATGTGAAGAACAGGACATACCCCTGACATACCACTACCTCTTTTTCTTCCTCTCTTTATCCCGTCCTTGTCCCCCTCGCCTATATATATTGGCTTCCCCTCTCTTTTGTGGTACTGAGATTTTGTGAATGGTAAAAGTCGGACCGAAACGTCGTCGTAAGCTTCTCTCTCCTATGTGCGAGTTATTTGTGTATTGTTCCAGTCACGGTATTGTGTCTTTTTGTTATTTCGGTGATGTCTATCCTCGCAGCCCTGCCAGAGTTGACAAGACTATCTTCCTAATTACTTGTGCAACCAGGCTGTTGCTGTTAGTGGCCAAGGTATGCATTTTGAGAGAAATTCCGCATTGTTAACACATTAAGTATTTTGCTTTTTAAACATTATCAGTCACGATTTTATTAAACTAAAAATATAAAATGCATGCAGAGAAGAAGCGAGAACTGAGGATCGCTAGACGAAGCCAGCAGAAAGACGATAAGAAACTTAACTAAAGTACAGGAGAAATGCAGAGAATAAAAGCAGTGGAAGATGTGGCTGAGACGAGAAGCCTCTGGAGAAATCTAGATAATGAACAGAGAGAAAAAAGTGAAGGCAGCAAAATTATTAAGGTTTGTAACGAAGGAAAGAGGCAGAGGAAGAGGGTAAGGAGGAAGGCAAATATGAGAAGGAAGGTGATGAGGGAGGAAAATGAGAAGCAGAAGAGAAGGTGGAGGAAGTATGCCAAGAAGGAGTTGTTAGGATTTGTTCAGTGTTGTAATTTTATGATTTAACAAAGGTACTGAATAATTATAATGTACTATTTAACAGTAATAATACCTGTCAATAATTATAAGTATCGCTCTTATTAGTATTAGTATTTTTATTATATTCGTTGGAAACGCTAAACCCATATGGTTCATACAGTGCCGAGGAATGAGAGGTAATTAGATTTGATCAACGGAAGGAGAGAGTAACTCTGTCATTTGGATCAAGAGCCCCTTCACCAACATCAAGGCAAACCCCTTGAAGCATTCCTGTTATAAAAATCAAGCCGTTTATAAGCGTTGCTTCATCTTCAGAGTTCTGCTAATCAGAATGTATTATTTTCCTCGTCCGGTTTGGTTAAGTTCCGCATATTTAATTCATAGATGCAGTGCTTAACTTTTTTTCCCATGATTACAGTCTTACTCACTGCACATTAATCTGCAACTGCCTCTTTTTTTTTTAAATCGCCTCGTTGCACAAAGCGTCACCTTGACGCCTTGTGCAACCAGGCTGTTGCTGTTAGCGGTGAAGGCATGCAGTTTTAGAGAAATTCCTTATTTTTAACATATTAAGTATTTTGTACCTAGGGCTGGGGAGTTCTATATCCGGGAGAGGTGAAACTATCCCCACAGAGTCCTTGCGTGATTAAGAACTCAATATCTCTTTCAGAATAAGTAGTGGGAAAATTTCCCCTTTAGTCTAAATTTGATGACAATTATGGCCGATGACTCTGGACGAATTATGTAGATGGACTATCGAAACTATACCACGAATAAGTTTATTCGCTGCGTCATCAAGATTTCTGTAGTGACAGTATACTGGTCACAACAGCAGCAAGTTGACAATGATAATGTAAAGTTAACAGTGTTAGAAACAGTGTACATTCACAACGTTATAAAACGAAATAGTTCTAGAGCTTTGTAAATATTACAAAAGAAAATTTTATCTAGAAACTCCCTGACGTCCGTCTTGTGTTTCAGTGAGTTTATGTTGCTATTTATATTCTAATCTACGTTATTTACATTGAGTGTGAACAACAAAGGGCCCAACACTGACCACTATGGAACGCCACTCTAAGCTGGTTGTTTGTCAGCCATGCCTCAGTTGCGGAATATTTCTCCTTCAATACAACGCACCGGTAATTAGAAATTCTGGACTAATTTCTTCCCGTAAAATTATCCTGACCAACTCGCTGTCCAAAATCTACTCAACTAATTAATGAGGCAGGAGCTTATTATTCCCAGTGTCTGTGACAGGATAACCGAGCAAATCTTTTTAAGCCAGAGCTGATGTATCGATATAGTTAAGAAAACAATATCAAATTATTTTGTCAATACCTAAACAGAACTTCGCAATCTAACATTGCTTAAAACGTATGTTACATAATGTTGCTTAACACACATGAACATCATTACAGATTCAGTTATTATTATTTATCATTAATGAAATATATTGCAGGATATTCAGAGTGATTACCACGGTGTTCTAGTGTAAATAAATATATGTGCGACTTGTTTGGCAAACAAATCTTGTAGTTTATTCCAACACACACACACACCACACACATACACATTTTATATATTATATATATAATATATATATATTATATATATATATATATATATATATATATATATATATATATATATATATATAAAATGTGTGTGTGGAGGAGGAGGTATGTGCACTTAGCAAATATAATAATAATAGCAATAATAATAATAATAATGATAATAATAATAATAATCTCGTCTCTCGTCATACACTGCTGTAACCAACTAACATCGGACATTGACTCAGGAAGACTGGGTGGTGTTTGCAGTAAACACAGCCGTGACGGCTCCTGCACACTTGAGCCAATTTAACTTTGACGCTGAGATAAAACTAACTCCTGGAAAAGTCTCTATAAGTGAGTCATAACAGCTGCACTCCACTCCACAATTATAACTTGGCTTAACAGCAATTAGTTCTTGGGCTGAATTTCTCTCCTGCTACTCCTAGGCATCTTTAGTTTTTTCTTATATACTTTTATTCGTGTTTATCTTCATCTACCTTTTATGTTTAATATTTATTCGTTTTTTTTTTGTCTTATCGAGTATAATCCCGAACTTTTTTTATTTTTAATGGCCTGTTCTGTGTATTTCTGTGTTTTATCCCAGGATTTGTGGTTATTTTTCTCGCTTCATCTGAGGCTCTGTCGAAGGTACGATGATTCCAAGAAAAGAAAAAAGCACATTCACTATCATTCATCCAATGGCTGTCTTGTCAGGACTGAACGGACATTACAATTCAATAATCCCTCGAAATGCAACATCCGCATGCTGGGAGGCCTGGTCTGGGACCGTCCCGCGGGGGCGATGATCCTTAAAACCGTCTACAGGTAACCCCTCCTTCAAATTAGTCCTGGAAAATTACTACTACTACTACTACTACTACTACTACTACTACTACTACTACTACTAATAATAATAATAATAATTTAAAAATAATAATAATAATAATAAATAATAATATTATTATTATTATTATTATTTATTATTATTATTATTATTATTATTATCATTATTATTATTTTCTTGAGTTAAAAGTTTTTTACCCGAGCAATGAGAATATCTCCTAATCCTTGGAACAAGATCCCTTCACTAGCATCTAGGTACTCTCTGTTGGATCAAGATCCCTTTACTATTATCAATGTACTCTTGGATCAAGAGCCCTTCACTAGCATCAAGGTAACTCCCCCTTTAAGATTTCTAGTCTGAAAATGTCTTACCCAACCACCTTAACCTAACCCAATCTCACCCACAAAACCTAACCCAATCTCACCCACAAAGCCTAACCCAATCTCACCCACAAAACCTAACCCAATCTCACCCACAAAACCTAACCCAATCTCACCCCCAAAACCTAACCCAATCTCACCCACAAAGCCTAACCCAATCTCAACCACAAAACCTAACCAAATCTCACCCACAAAACCTAACCCAATCTCACCCACAAAACCTAACCCAATCTCACCCGCAAAATCTAACCCAATCTCACCCACAAAACCTAACCCAATCTCACCCACAAAACCTAACCCAATCTCACCCACAAAATCTAACCCAATCTCACCCACAAAACCTAACCCAATCTCACCCACAAAGCCTAACCCAATCTCACCCACAAAACCTAACCCAATCTCACCCACAAAACCTAACCCAATCTCACCCACAAAACCTAACCCAATCTCACCCACAAACACAACCAATCAGCCAGAAAATATAACCTATGTTGAGAATTTTAGTAGCGTGCATGGCGTCGATGGCACCTTGTTGCATGATGTGCATGGTGTATGACGCCACTGCCGCCATGTTGCACGACGTGCACGCCATGTTGCATGACTTGAGCGTCATGTTGCGTGCCTGCTGCTTTTTTGAACTCAGTTTAGGGTAGTTTAAGTTAGTCCAGTTACTCGGGATTAGTGTTAACTAGTTCAGGTTAATGAAAGTTAGATTAAGCTAGTCAAGGTGTGAGCAAGCTAGGGAAATTAATCAAGGTGTGAGTAAGCTACGGAAATTAATCAAGGTGTGAGCAAGCTAGGGAAATTAATCAAGGTGTGAGCAAGCTACGGAAATTAATCAAGGTGTGAGCAAGCTACGGAAATTAATCAAGGTGTGAGCAAGCTAGGGAAATTAATCAAGGTGTGAGCAAGCTACGGAAATTAATCAAGGTGTGAGCAAGCTAGGGAAATTAATCAAGGTGTGAGCAAGTGAGATTAGAACAGGTTAGGTTACGTCACTACAAGCTGGACGAGTACAGGGTAGTTTAGGTTACTTATAATACCTCTATCAGTAGTCACTAGTCTAATCAGCAGTCCTTTCATTCACAAATAATTGCAGGAGGTATTTAATCGTCCGATCATTAACCACCACCTTAATGACGGGGGACGTTTGGAACCATTTGACCGGTACTCAGTGGAGAGCAGGCGAGAAAGATACATCATAATCTACAACTGGAAAATCCTAGAGGGACTGGTTCCAAATCTCCACACATAAATCACTCCCTTTAAAAGCAAAAGACTGGGCAGACGGTGCAACATACCCTTAATGAAAAACAGGGGCGCCATTAGTACACTAAGAGAAAACACAGTAAGTGTTTGGGGCCCAAGACTGTTCAACAGCCTCCCACCAGGCATAAGGGGAATTGTTTGTTGCATAAGGGGAATTGAGTTGCATAAGGGGAATTACCAATAGACCCCTGGCTTGCCTTCAACAGGGAGTTGGGCAGATACTTTAAGTCAGTAATCCGACCAGCCGGGCTGTGGTTCGTACACTGGATTACGTGCAGCCAGCAGTAACAGGCTGATCAAGGACTAGGCAGCGGGGGCGTTGACCCCCTGGAACACCCTCCAAGTAGACTCCAGGTAGATTGACTATCTGTAACCACTATTTTCGTTCATCACTATTTGGTGACATACTCTTTTCTAGAATTTGCTGTGAAACCTAGCTCCTATGTGCAAGCGGTGACTAACCCACTGAATGTGTCACCATCTAATTAAGACTAATTAAGACTCTGTAATCTGTGGTGATGGCACAATCGTCAGATTGTGCCATCACAACTAACTATCGCCACTGGTCAGTAATTCCCCCATACCAGAAGCCAGGTCAGTAATTCCCCCATACCAGAAGCCAGGTCAGTAATTCCCCCGTACCAGAAGCCAGGTCAGTAATTCCCCCATACCAGAAGCCAGGTCAGTAATTCCCCCATACCAGAAGCCAGGTCAGTAATCCCCCCATACCAGAAGCCAGGTCAGTAATCCGTCGTAAATCGCTGGCGTGTTGATGATCCGCCTTCAGTCGTGGCTTACACTGTCTGCTCGTGTATCTGAAAATCCCCAGGGTGGAATCCCCGTGTGAAGCAAATGGGTGTATCTACCATTAGTGGAATTCCCATGTGAAGGAACTGGATGCTACCATCCTCTTGCTTTCTTCTTATTTTTTTATTTTTCTTCTTTCTCCTTATGTTTTTTCCTTTATTTTTCATACTTCCTATTTACATTACCTTTATCTTCTTTTAACTACATTTCACTTCTCCCCTAAAAACCCTCCAGATATATTCTCTCCTTAACCTCTCACTCCCCATCATTCCAATCATCCTCCCCTAGCCTCCCCACCTTTTCCTTTTCTCGTCCTCCACCTCTCATTCCTACCCTTTTCTCTCTCTCTCCTCCCGTCTCACAGCTTCCTCTTCTCCATTCCTCGGTTCCCTGCTAGCTACTAGTGTTGTCATCAAGAACAGTGTCTCATGACGCTTGTTTGCTAAGTTCTTAAATAAGATACACAGTTTCAGATAATCACATCTCTCCCACATATTAACATACGCAATAAGGTGATATCACAACATGCAAAATAACCACTGTGAAAAAAAAATAGTGATTATGTCCTTCATTACGTGAGAAATCACGAAAGCGCTTGCAAGATCACTTTTTTCACAGGGAGTGTTTTGCATAGTAATATAAGTGTAAATTACCTAGGATATCCCCATGAAGAAAAAATCAATCTTAGTGAGTTTTGTTTCCATTTTGTCCTTAGAGTATTAGCCATACGATGACCTAATAAAAGCATGTTTTGTATATTTTTTTATTCTCTTTACTCAGGTCGTTTTTAATTTTTTCATCAAGGTGGTAATTTGAAAAAAAAAGTAATTGGCTAAGCAACAGTAGTGCTGGGAATTCATCCAGTTCGACAATACATTGTTAATGATGAACACAGGTTTCAGAACAAGCTTTTGATGTGCAAACTGCTGAGCGAAACGTTGTCCCAATAAAAGCCTGTTGTGCAATCGGTGTCTTTTCATTACTGTTGACAGAAAGCCATTTGCATCCACACATATTACTGATAACATAAGGTGTAACACCTCCAGGTGTAATTATAGGGACCCATGGCCTCGGAAATGTAAATTAAGAGGCTTCGAGGAAGATATTGCGACCTCTCCTTGAGGCAGTTTGAATGTTCTGTTTCTCCTACCACCCCATCTTTTATACATGCACATATATACACATGTTATAATTGATTTATATTATTGCATTTACGAAAATAGTTCAAGCAGAGTGATTTATTCAACAAGTGGACAGTTGGAGGCTTGATTCCCCGTCCTAAAATTACGCTTATTATTTTGTCAACATACTGGCCGTTTCCCACCGAGGTAGAGTGACCCGAAAAAAAAAACTATAAAGTTTATCTTCTTTTTGCATTTAGGAATTTATATGGAGAAGGGGTTTCTTATTATTATTATTATTATTATTATTATTATTATTGTAAGCACTAAACCCATACATGATCGGTCTACATAATACGAGACGGCCACAGTCACAGGTAGGTTTGTTCCACTTCATAGTTGTAGAATTACTTTTTGTTTTATTTTCCCCATTATTACATCTCAGCTGTCTCACCTGGATGCTGTAGTGCTCCTGAAGATGGCTATGTTGGGTTCAGGATAGATGCCGCCCGCACGGCAGGATACCACCACACTGTCTTCACTCGGCTTGGAGTATGTCATGGACATGTCCACTGGCGGTGCTGTGGGAATAGACACAAGAATATAATTAGTGACTTAAGAAATCGTAATGACACGATTGCAAATAAACCATACCCCCGGCCGGGATTGAACCCGCGGTCATAGAGTCTCAAAACTCCAGCCCGTCGCGCTAGCCACTAGACCAGCTAGCCACAATAAGATTCATCCAACTGGAGATTCGTCTGTAAAAACTTGCATTTGTGGTCACAGAGGTGCCTGTGCTAACTTTCCTATGGTGTAGAAATATACCTAGTTGGATGAATCTTATTGTGGCTAGCTGGTCTAGTGGCTAGCGCGACGGGCTGGAGTTTTGAGACTCTATGACCGCGGGTTCAATCCCGGCCGGGGGTATGATATAATTAGTGTTTTTGCGACACGAGACACATGATTAGTGAGCTGTGAGATAAGATACATGGTGATAGTCTGTGATGTGAGACAAAGGACTTATTAGTCTGTGTTGAGATCATACATATGGGTATAATTAGTATGTACTGGAACACTTGGTTCAATTAACGCTCAGTTTGTTTGCTGATAGGTTATATTTATATCATGTGATCAGAGTACATAGTGTAGTTAAGCGCATGATCAGAATACAGAGTGTAGTTAACAGTGTAATCAGAGTACTGGGTGTAGTTACATAGTTTAATTAGCATGCATGGTAATTATTTTGTGTTTACATTGGTGCCGTGGCTGATGTTCGCGTCGCTTGGTCACTCAGTCATAAACTGTTGAATCTGGCCAGTAACTGGATGGGTAACTACGTTTACACTCGTAAGTGTTTAACGTTCCTCTTGTAATGTATGGGTGTGCTGATGTGTGCAATAAGTTTAACATCAGTAGTGAAAAACATAAAACGCTAGGGAAAACACACACACACACACACACACACACACACACACACACACACACACACACACACACACACACACACACACACTCACACACTATAAAATTGCAATATTTCTTGATAAGTGACTAATATTGAATTTTAGCAATATTTTCTAAATTTTTTCCTCTTCGCGAAATATTTTTCATTAAAACTGAAAAAAAATAAATTATGGGAAAATATGCTGAATATTAGCATTTCTTCATTTTTATTTTTTTTAAATAGATCTAATTTTTAGCAGATGTACAAGAAAAACTCTATCGTTCATATTCTGACGTTTTAACGTTGTTTGCAGCATTATTGGATCTACCTAAAACTTTAGGTAGATCTACCTAAAACTTTAGGTAGAATAGAATTTTTCAAGACTGACTCAGCACTGCGAAAGACTAACGTGAAGGATTTAGGATTAATGTAAGAGGATCTTATTTTCCAGGATCACTAGTGTCAGCAGAACTGCAAGGAAAAATAATAGGTTGGTTAACTAAAACCTTCCAAACAAAAGATGCGAAGCCGATGATGCTTTGTAAGTCACCTTTTCTTTCTAGATTCGAATATTACTGTACACTTAGAGCCCTTTTTAAGGCAGACGAAATGCTCGTATAAATTTAGTCAGATACCTAAATTACTAGGATTCTTGAAATACTTTGAACTGTACTCATTGGAACGTAGGCGAGAAAGATACACTATAATTTACACAAGAAAATTTTGGAGGAAGTGCTTCCAAATCTACGCAGAGAAATCACTCCTAATGAAGCCAAGAGACTTGGCAGTGAATACAAAATCTCCTCAGTGAAAAGCAAGGGTGCTATGAATACAGTAAGGAATAACACAATAAATGTATAGGAATCAAGACTATTCCACACCCATCCTTCATATATAAGGGGAATTACCAACAGATCCCTAGCTGTCTTCAAGAGGGATCTGATAAAGATCGCCAAGTCAGTTCCTTATTACATCGTCTTCACATCTCTACTGTTCCTGCCTACTTTCTGTATTCGACTGAAGAAGCCTACTGTGTAGGCGAAACGTTTCGGAATAAAGTTGTCTAACTGTTGCATGTGTGTCTTACCTAACAACCTGGCTGATCAAGCCATCCACCGGGGAGGGGGGCTTGGTCTGTATCAGATCTCAGGGGCGTTGACCCCTTGGAACCATCTTCAGGTAAATTACAGGCAAACTTCGTATTTAAGAAAAACTAACGTATCTAAGTCGTCTGGAGGAATCTTAGCAAACTCCACTCTTGATCCAGGGAATTGGATCTGCTCTCAACTGCTTCTAAACCTGAATCCCTCCTATTCCCCATAAGTTTTGTGACCCCTACAGCTTTAGCGTTTTCCTTTAAGTATATTTTTAATTACAGTTAGCCTGATGACCGGAGCACCAACAATCTGACAGATCAGATCATAATCCGCGAGAACTGGTCTGAGACCGAGGGAGATGAAACCCTGACCCATCAACAGGCAGGCAACAGGTAAGCAACAGGTAGGTAACAGTGGAAATTATCATCAACAAAATATAATTTATCCGTCTGATTATCTCAAGCGTATAATTAAGCCAACTAATTAGCTTTCTAATTAAAACCAGTCTTCAAGAATAATACACAAGTAAGAATCGGCACACGTTATTAATTAAAGTGGTGGAATTATTAAATGGGAAGTAATTAAGTAGTGGGGTGTAATAACTGGTGAGCTGTCATAACTAACCAGGTGTAATAACTAGTGGGGTGTAATTAACTGGTGGGGTATAGAAAAACTAGCCAGGTGTAATTAGTTCAGGATAATTAATATTCCTCTCTGGGATAATTAGAAAACTGGTGTAAATACATAATAAAAATTATTACATTTATCAATACTCACAATAAATTTAACCTGCAATGTATTTTAAAACGGGTACCAAACCTGTGTGTGTGTGTGTGTGTGTGTGTGTGTGTGTGTGTGTGTGTTGTGTGTGTGTGTGTGTGTGTGTGTGTGTGTGTGTGTGTGTGTGTGTGTGTGATATCCATTATCTAAATCGTTTGATAACCTCATCACATTACTCTTATCTATGTTCACTTTCAACTTTGCCAAATAGACCGAACTCCTGAAAAATTGGGAGTTTTTCATTGCTTCTACTGATATATTTTATCATTGACACTGTAAAGAATTTTATCTTTGACAAAATACTTAGAACTCACTAACCTAACTTAGAAACCTCATAATACCTACTAACTTAGAAACCTCACCTACCTTAACCCAACCTACAACTTAGAAACCTCACCTAACCTAACTTAGAACCCTCACCTAACCTAACTTAGAACTCTCACCTAACCTAACTTAGAAACCTCACCTAACCTAACTTAGAAACCTCACCTAACCTAACTTAGAAACCTCACCTAACTTAACTTAGAAACCTCACCTAACCTAACTTAGAAACCTCACCTAACCTAACTTAGAAACCTCACCTAACCTAACTTAGAAACCTCACCTAACCTAACTTAGAACCCTCGCCTAACCTAACCTAACTTAGAAACCTAACCTAACTTAGAAACCTCACCTAACCTAACTTAGAAACCTCACCTAACCTAACTTAGAAACCTCACCTAACCTAACTTAGAACCCTCACCTAACCTAACTTAGAACCCTCACCTAACCTAACTTAGAAACCTCACCTAACCTAACTTAGAAACCTCACCTAACCTAACTTAGAAACCTCACCTAACCTAACTTAGAAACCTCACCTAACCTAACTTAGAAACCCTCACCAAAACCTAACCTAACTAGAAACCTCACCTAACCTAACTTAGAAACCTCACCTAACCTAACTTAGAAACCTCACCTAACTTAGAAACCTCACCTAACCTAACTTAGAAACCTCACCTAACCTAACTTAGAAACCTCACCTAACCTTCCCCAACCTACCGTAGGTTTTTTTTTTTTAGCCAAACTCTTGCATATGTAAAACAGATCAGTTCAAATATATTTAATATTAGTTAAAATCAGCGATATACATAATTTTTTGGTATGATAAGATTAATTTTAGCAGATTTATCGCGTATTTTTTTTTCTCTGCTTATTTGGTAGAAATCACTCATGCTTTTTAAGGCCTAACTCGCCGGTTTGGCCTATTCGCCCCATAAAATTAATATACATCAGTGTTTAGGGTATAATCATTCTTGGAAAGAATGATTATACAACACATATACATACTACACACACACACACACACACACACACACAACACACACACACACACACACACACACACACACACACACTGATGAATTTTCCCTCCAACCCACTAAAATGTACGATAAATCACACTTTTCCATCACAGGTGAGAAAATAAGCGCAATTCTTTTATAATAACCAGGAAAATATTATTACATAAAACTGTATACAGTATAACACTAACTCGTGTTTGTCTCTCTGGGCCAAATTAAAGATTATGTAGCCATGTAAATTCCTGAAAAATGTTGGGAAGGAGGAAAGGAGAGGGAGGATTGAAGGAAGGGAAGGAAGAGAAGAGGGAGAGTTGACAGGGGGTAGGGATATGGAAGGAGGAATTAAGATGCAGGGGGAAGAGATAATGGAAAATATAGGTTGATTACAGTGAAATCGAGGAATTTATGTTAAATAAATTAAAGGGGAAGACATAAGAGGGAAGGTGACGTAAAGAGGAATATATGCATAACAACAACTGTGAAAAAATACCTTAATTCCAATCGCTTTCGTGATTTCTCACATTATCAATATAAAAAGCAAAACATCAACAGAAAGGCATATAAAAGGGCAAAACCTTTCCATTTACCGAAAAAGGTTATTCCCTTTTCTTCTTAAGTGTTGGGGGGAAATAGAAGTTGTATATAGGAAGTAAAGAATCTTGATCAGTAAATAAAGAGAATTTTTGATAAAGAGATATTTTTAATAATGACTGAGGATTTATTTATAATTCATAAAATTTGACGTAAAAAGATTAATAACATAAGTAAAAATACTTAAATGCTTCGTAGAATCTCAATTACAAACAAAAATAAATACAGCATTAAGAACTGGACAGACTTTCCATGCCTTTTATTATGCCTTTCTGTAAGAGTTTTAAGATCAGTTGTATTGAAAAAGCTGAGAAAGTTGTTGATAA